GTTATTTACGGTCATGTTTACATTCAAATCAGTTTCAAAGGAAAAAAGGGTATTCTAGTTTCACTGATTTGTATCCATTTGAACCAATCTGATTCAACAATAGTAAAGGGCCCATCAGCATTTGTAAACAAACCACTCCAAAACCCATTCCTCACAAATCGAAGGCCGCCCACACAAACCAACACCATCATGGTGTAGGTGGAAGTTTCCCCTATCCGATGATGGTGTTGGTTTGCGTAGGTGGCCTTCGCTTTGTGAGTAAAGGGTTTTGGAACGGTTTGTTTACAAATGCTGATGGGCCCTTTTCTATTGTTGATCCAGCAATATTGTTTTGTATGTTGACGTTTTGAGAGTTGTTGAACTGGTAGATTGAGGTTAGGGCGACGCCACTGGATGAGTATGAATGGAGACTGAATGAAACCAGAGGACAACAATGACACTCCCTTCAACGTTCCATTCGGATTAAGAAGTCAGCGGTCCTAGCGTTCGTCAAGGATCAATTCACAGATGGCTCGAAAATTGGAACACAAACAGGTGCAGGAATCTTTGGTTCTGGGACACACATGTCAGTGGCGATGGGACGGTGTCCAACAGTGTTTCAAGCGGAAATCATTGTCATACTTGAATTTGTAAGTGTTTGCCTAAGGAGAAAATATAGATGTGCAAACATCTGTATTTTTTTCTCTGTGCCAACAGAACTCAGTAAACTTGTAATGGGTTCCTCGACACTAACGCTGGGAAGAACAAAGGGTGATGGCCGTGCAACCAGTCGAGACGATTTATAACTCCAAATGTAACACATACCAAAAAGCTGTTGGAGCTCAATAAACGAGCTCTTAGTCTATAAACTGGCCTAGTTACTGGGCACTGTCCGAATAGATATCATTTGAAGAACATTGGTCGGGTTCAGAGCAATATCTGCCGTTTCTGTAGCATAGAACGTGAAACATCGGAACATCTGCTCTGCAGTTGTGGTACATTACACAGAAGTAGATCTAAATTTCTTGGTAGTGTTATCTTACAACCTAGTGAAAATATAGTTGGTTTCATAAACCATATCAAGAGCAAATTTTCATTATGTCGCGACGATCCGAGAAAAACATAGTTTTGTTTTGATGACCGAAAAGTAATTCCTATTTCCCAATTAAACGCATATAAACTCATAGTGATAGCAATGTTTAACATATTAAGCAGGGTTTTAATCATACAAAGCAGATCGTTTACTTTCATGCTACAAAATACATACGGGTTTTTGAGTCAAAAGTTATTATACGTCGTTTGGTGACCCCTAATGTTACTTAAGTCAAAGTGTATTTACCAGGATATTCGGGAGAATTATCAATCACGTCTCCTGACGTGCAGCCTATTCATCATTTTAGGACCACCAAAATCATCATAGCCACAAACAGTTCGATTTATTCTCTTCACTAATGAGAAAGCGAAACGACGAACGTACACTTTTCACGGGTTTCTCTGCGCTGTTACTTAAGACATACGGCATCTCCGTAGAAATCGGGTGACTTAAGTAACATCGAAAAATATTTTGATCGGAAGGTGATTACGTCAAAAAGCAATTTGACTGGTAGGGGAAATGGATGTAATGTCGGCCTAAATGTCCCTAATTTGCGCCCATACATAATTTGAGCAATCGACTAAGTTTTCAATAGCAACCAAAATATCCATTAGTACCGTCCCAATGACGCGTTCATCTAGATAAAATTGATAAATAGCAGATTTTTAGCGACGGACCCAATCTTAGATCCCATTAGAGCCATTTCCCCTACATAAATTTAAAAATGGGATGTGATCCTATATTCGGACAGCATATAGTGTAATAGCAGGAGCATCGATTCACACTATTAGCTCTCGACTTTATTTACCTTTGTTACTTTCGACGTAATGTAAATTTGGTCTTGATATCATATGTGATTTTCGTTATCAGTCCGTATAATCCCTTTCGTATCATCATGGCAAACATTGTGAAGAGACAGTAGTATCTACTGTTCCAATCTGCGCAACGAATTTCTGTTTCGCTTATGCAACGTACACATTTCCATAGAATACGTCACCACTGCAGTAGTTCGTCAAGCAGTGGTAAAGCTTTTTTTACTGTGCTCCATTTGAGAGGATGTTCTTTCAGGAAAGAACCCAAGTGATGATATTCTTTATAGGCCTGTTTATACGTTCTGCGCAGTTGTAGCTGCTCTGGTACGGCTGCTAGTCAAATATACACCGAGGTATCTCATGAGGAGACCACTACTGGCAGCTCGTACTTTTCAAATTTGTCAGTTGTTTCTGGGCTTATATTTTTTGTATATCTGGTCTCGGAATAAGAACATCGGCTTTTTGGTGCTAATCTCCAACCTCCATGGTCGTATGGGATGTGCTCCAATTTGCTGCTCTTCTTTCACTTTTAGTTTGTTGACTCCATGGTACCGGAAAAGATATAGATATATACATTATTAGCAATGCTGTGATATAACCACAACGGGATGGCCGTCCAGAATGGTTCAACGGATGTGAAATGAGGAAACATTTTAATATCTAACGTAATTTCTGGAAGCATTTACTTGTGTTTTACCGAAGACAACAAGTCAAAAAGACTGGCAACTCTTCAATTTTCTCATACGAACGCTATTAAACAGGTACAATCGCGTCATCTGCCGGCAGGTAAATGCTTCGAACGAATTTGATAGCAAAGATTACATCCTCAGAAGAAGGGTTTGTGTATTTGCTCATTTTTCTATGCGTTGCTTCCACCTTCACTCAAGTGCAGCGCCATTGTATCTGTCGCTTGGATTCTGACAAAGTTGCCAGTCTTCTTGATTTGTTGTCTTCGGTTTTACACAAATAGTATCAATGTTCCGTCACATCGTAACTTCAAGTGATTTTCACAAACGCTACATTTCATTCAGGCTTTTTGGAACTACATGTGGTGAAATATGAAACGCAGTTTTTATAGTAAATTGCACATAACAGTGACAAGTGTCATCACTTACTCACACATGACAGCTGCCTTGACCAACCTAGCAGAACGCGCCCTAACTTCACTGAACACATGGCGAAATAAAGGAGGGCAAAATCTTGAATCAAAAGAAATCTAGTTCTAGGAGTCGATAATTTGCATTACTAAGTCCGATGTATCGCAAATTTTACTAAGTTTAGATACCAAAATTTGCAAAAGCTAATTTTTTTAAATTTGTTCAGTCTTAAGATCTTACAACTTTTTAATGTGCCTTAAATTTAAAAATAAATGAAGTCCAGGACACTACAACAATAGCTGCAATTTTGAAACCTATCGACTAGATGCTTACGTCGGATGGCGACTAGAGTGTGAAACAATAGATAGAACAGGATAGAACTGTTTCCGCACATCGAAGGTACATGAGCAAATTGACGATCATCGCTTTTGCCAGTGGAATTAAATGGAAATTACTAATCCTTTTCTCTCTATTTATACAGGTATTCCACTAAGACGCTTACATTCATCAGGCAAAAGAAACGTTAATTTCAACCTCCAAGTAAAAAACCTCAAATTCAACACACGGTAACCGCAAAATACCCAATAATGACTACAAACTAAGCATTTTCGAGGGAAACTGGGACTACCCATTAAATGAGTAAAATTTTACCCATTTATGAGTAATTACAACTACAAAAACAAGTAGTAAGTATTCATTTTTGAATAACAAATACTCATAAATGGGTAATGGGTATTTTGCGGTTACAGTGTACAAAAAGATACACAATTATAGTTATATTAACTAACAAATGAGGATTACATCTCCTTTTGAATAAAATTCAAGAATTATTGAGAACATGACTTACGTTCATCCCTATAACTGTGTAACAAAGTAAATGAATAAATAAATAAATGAAAAAAAAACGCGTGCATACATTTAGTGAAAAAAAAAAAAAAGTTCAACTATCAATTCAAATAACAGTAGCTATTTATAAATCATTCGTAACCACAAATTATTGTAAATTTATCTTTAGGAGATATAATGGAGAGGTAATTTTGTGGAAACTTTAGCGAATTCGTTTATTATTCAGTTCCAATCTGGATCGAGTATTTTTGTCTGCTTGTGTTCTGACAAATGTCAGTTTGATCGTTTGTTTTTTAAAACCCAGCTCAGGCTGAGGTTCGCACTGACAAAAAGTTTGATTTGGCACAAATTCACTATTAGACACTTAAGGTGGCGGTTTGAAAGTGTCTACGGTCCATACAAATTAAAAAAACTATCGACGATTGCCTACGCGGGGTGAGGGTCTACAACCTCTTAAAATTTGTCTACGTAGTTTATGAACAGCCCCTTGCGTAAATCTCAGCGAAAAAAACGAAATCTGTTCCCTCTTTGATAGCATGCCGAGGGTCTACCTACGGCACCTACGGTCTACACAAATTACCAAAAATGTGGATGGTCAGAAATTCAAGATAAGGGATCCAAGATAAAGAAAAAAGTACAATTTTCGAGATCCTGTAATGTAACAATAAGATTGACGTCCGAACAAGGAGCTGTTTTCTATGTCTATACAACATTGACATCGCTGACCATTTTCATACGAACTCAAATATTCTGCATATTACCATTAAATTTGGAACAGTTGTTTTGGGACCTCAATAAATATCGAAAGAGCACTGCCGAGCAGTGGGTTGAAAAGTTGACCCACCTGAACGTACAACCATCCAAGTTGTGCAACTTGGTTCACAAACTATGACCCAACTTTCCACATCAAAAGAAGAGTGATTCTTCCAAAATAAGACAACACAATTTTTAAATAATGTTTGACTAAAAAATGGTCCATATCCTAACATACCAACACTGAATGGACACCTCTTCATCGGAAGAGGAAACCTGAGAAACGGGAAAAAAAATAAGGCATAGATATACCAAGCAAGACGACGTCGTCGACGGCGACGACCGCCGCACCACAATCACAATGAAGCCCGAGCCACGACAGACAAAAAAATAATAAAGAAACAAAATCTCCCTACTCACTCTGGCCACCGTCGTAGTACGGTACGGATTCCTCTCGGATTTGCCACTGTGTGCGTGTGCAGGTTTCGACGTTGCTTTCTCCCACTTGCACCACCGCTTCTTGCCTTCACTGGCCGTCCTCTATAGATCCACTTCTACTGATCAATTAACATTTTCAGATTCCTCCTGCGTTCTGGGGCTGCTGCCCAACATAGGCCACTTTAACCACCACCGGAACACGAAACTACACTACGACTAATCGCAACGAACATAGTGGACACTACTTCCGCTGCGGAAATCAATCCCGGAGGCAACCAGAAAACGCGACAACCGAGCACACGAAACGGGGAGCAAATTTTTCACGACTGCAAAGAATGATGGACACTTTACTTTTGAGACGACGACGGATTTACAGCCCCCACTGAAAGTGTTTGCGTGTGAACGGAACGATGAATGAAACTGCACTGACACTGACGGACAACCGCAGTATAGATGCAGTTTTGTCTGCATTCCAGTAGGTGGCAGTGTGGCATTTCAAGAGAAATTGGAGTGCGTTCGCAGATGAGCATTTAGACAACAAATCTAGGAACAACAATAGAAAAGGGCCCATCAGCATTTGTAAACAAACCATTCACTGATAAATTCTAGATAGAGCTGAAATTAGGGCGTAACAGCCTTTGTAAACAATGACTTCTCTCAATGATTTCTAGGAATTCAAGACACACCTACACTAATAAAAATTCAATGATTATTTTTATGTGTCCCACACATTAATTTTTGCAATGTGGGTATCTGCTGCTTGCTATTTTCATCCAGCCATTATCCGTTTCAAATATCGCACCAAACCCTCCTGACAAAATTTTCTCAATAAAAACTATAAAATAACTATAAAGTGGACAATACATTCTATCAAGAGCAAATTTTCATTACGTCGAATGTAACAAAGGTAAACAAAGTCGAGCTATCAGTGTCAATCGATTCTCCTGCTATTACACTATATACTGTCCGAATATAGGATCAAATCCCATTTTTAAATTTATTTACCAGTCAAATTGCTTTTTGACGTAATCACCTTCCGATCAAAATAATTTTCGATGTTACTTAAGTCACCCAATTTCTATGGAGATGCCGATTGACTTAAGTAACAGCGCTGAGAAACCCGTGAAAAGTGTACGTTCGTCGTTTCGCTTTCTCATTATTAAAGTGAATAAATCGAACTGTTTGTTGCTAAGATGATTTCGGTGGTCCTAAAATGATGAATGGGCTGCACGTAAGGAGACGTAATTGATAATTCTCCCGAATATCCTGGTAAATACACTTTGACTTAAGTAACAATAGGGGCCACCAACCGACGTATAATAACTTTTGACTCAAAAACCAGTATTTTTTAGCATGAAAGCTAGCGATTTGCATTTGTATGATTAAAACCCTGCTAAATATGTTAAACATTGCTATCACTATGAGATTATATGTGTTTACTTGGAAATAGGAATAACTTTTCGGTCATCAAAACAAAACTTTATTTTTCTCGGATTGGTGCGAATGTTACTTACGACATAATGAAAATTTGCTCTTGCTATATTGACGTCAATACATCGAGATTGACAATATTTCTGAATTCACATCATCAATATTATTGTCAATAATTCCCCTTCGCGTCAATATATTGATGCGTGTGGGGTTTGCTTTAAACGCTGTCCAGACTGGAGAGTTATAACAACAATCAATACGAAACTAACGATTTTAAATTGGCTCACCACTTTAGTAGCCTATTGGTCCCAAGCAAACGATTAACGTACCCTATTCTAGTTGAAATTCTATTACTACACTATGTTTGTTTTGATTCGCTATGAAAGTTTGACAGATAACATCAGGGGTGTGTGGATTCATGCAGAACATGCAGGGGTGAGTGAAATAGCTTGGGACTGCTTGGGACCGTTGTTCTGGTACTGAGTGAGCCAAAAATAATAATGATTTTCTTCGGGACCTACTAGTCTTAGAGTTACCTCTATGGTACAACGTTATATGTGATTAAACTGCACAGCAAAAAAAAATTATATCGATATAGGAAAAACCAATAACCCCTCATTTTATCTGTCAAACTTTCATAGCGAATCAAAATAAACATTGCGTAGTACTAGAATGTCGACTAGAATGGGGTACGTTATTCGTTTGCTTGGGACCGATAGGCTAGTCAAGTAGTGAGCCAATTTAAAATCGTTAGTTTCGTGTTGATTGTTGGTAAAACTTTACCGAATATTGGTAATTTTTTTATGATTTACCGAAAAATCTGTAATAATTTTCGTTTACCGATTATTTTCGGTAAAAAATTACCGAACAAGCCAAACGTAGCTGAGTGTGTTCAAATTAATAATGCTAGCTGTTAAAGGAAACATTCCTCTACCTGATGTTGTCATTAATCTTAATGAGTAAGCTTTTATTCGCGAGCAATTGATGGCTAAAACCATTTTTTACAAATGCAATTACGCCCCTTTGAAATGTTGACACTGATATTTTAGACCAAAAATAGAAAAGGTACTATCAATTTTATAAACAAAACGTTGATTATTCTTTTCTCGCCAATCGAACGAAAATGACTGACATCATCGGATAGGGGAAACTTTCCTCAACCCTCGCCTCAACCCAAAGATGGTGTTAGCATATAGGTAACTCTAAGACCAGAAGGTCTCGAAGAAATGTGCTCAACTTTTTGGCTCAGCTCTGGTACTATCTTCGGTCCCAAGTTAATCAATGCACCCCTCGAAACATCGGACAATCCACGAACCCCTCATTTTATCTGTCAAACTTTCATAGCGAATCAAAACAAACATGATGTAGTAGATGTACTTGGGACCAATAGGCTAGTCAAATAGTGAGCCAATTTAAAATCGTTAGTTTCCACCGGTTGGTGTTAGTTTGCGAAGGCGAGCCTTGAGCCACGAGAAAAGGGTTTTCGAAGTTTTGTTAGCAATAGCTGATGTGCTCTTTTCTGTTGTTGGTCGTGATTTGCTCGATTGGTTCCGCTATTTGATAGCTCAATTGGTTCAGTTGTCCCACAGCTGTCTACAGCAGCAGTCGATTTTTTATTTCGTTGTGAACCACACGATAGCCTGTTTTCGAGACTCGCTATTATATAGTTGCTCTTTGTTCGTTGCCAGCAGTTCGGTGCCTTTTGTTGCTACGGTGCAAGATGTGTGAAGTAAAAAACACCATCAAGTTTAGCTTCAGCCATTGTGATGCCAAACCAAACATCGGAGAGATAGTAAATTTCGCCAAAGCACTCGACGCGGATCCGGCTGAAATGGAAGCTGTTTATCGCATTGGTGAGGAAAGGGGAGTCTTCATGAAGTTCAAATCAGAGGAAGCGATGCTCCATGCTCTGACATTCAATTCGGAGGATTTAATCTTCCATTATGCGAATGGAACGACGCCAAAGGTACGCATGTCGCATGCTGGTGAATTCATTCAATATGTGCGTGTGTATGACTTGCCACCAGAGGTACCCGACAACGAGCTGGATAAAGTGCTGGGGAAATATGGGAAAATTAAACGCATCATCCGGGAGAAATTTCCAACTGATCTGTGTTTTGAGGTATATACAGGGATACGCGGTGTATATATGGATGTGAAGAAGGAAATCCCCACGTCATTACATTTCTTCAATCGCAAAGGAAATATTTTTTATGATGGCAACAAAGACAAATGTTTTCTGTGCAAGGCGGACGGACACCGGAAGCTTTCCTGTCCCAAGCGGAAGGCTCGGAAGGAACCGGAGAAGCAACTGAAGGAAAAAGGAAAGCAAAGCGAAAGAAAACAAAACAGCAGCAGTACGTATGCTGGTGTAGTGGTGGAAGGTGCGTCGTTTGTCATTAGCGATCAGGAAACGGATACGGGGTTGGAGATGTTGAATGCAGATAACGAAATGGACGTGACTACCCCGACGACCGACGAGAGTAGCGGAGAGCATGCAACGGGAAACGATGTCCAGAAACAGCAGCAGCGATCACGATTCGGGTTCAATGAAAATGAGGAACAAATTCGGGAAAGAAAGAAGTTGCGTGCACGGGAGAAGATCGCTCTGTCGCCGCTTCGATCGCCACCCAGAAAAATCATATGATAAAATATATTTGTACATATTTTTTTTTTTTGTATTTTGAGTACCATAATTGGTATTCTATGTTACTCGGCTCCGCTAAGTTATTTTTATAACATTTGAGCCTGCCAAATAAACGAAATGAAAAAAAAAAAAAAAAGCTCAATTGGTTCCCGAGGTTCTATCCGCCAGACTATGAATATAGACTTCTCTGACGTTTGTGAAATGCACAAGTGCACGGATGGATTTGAGTTTACTCACTCGATAAAAAGTGACACAACAGCGGGGCCCTGTTTACTAAAAATGAACACATGAATAATGCTCGCGTAACATTTGAAAAGGGCCTATCAACTTTTGTAAATAATTTGCTAGGTCCTTTTCACGAGAACCGAAGTACGCCCACGCAAACCAAGAGCACTTTCGGGAAGGGGAGAATTTCCTCTGCCCGATGGTGTTGTTAGTTTGCGTGAGCGTATTCGGTTCGCGCGAAAAAGGCTTAACAAGTTTTGTGTACATAAGTTGATAGACCCGTTTCAAATGTTACGTGAGTATTATTCATGTGTTCATTTTTAGTAAACAGGGCCCCGCTGTTGTGTCACTTTTTGTCGAGTGAGTGAACTCAAATCCATCCGTGCACTCCCCGAATAGAAATTTACATTAGCCCAACGTTTGATTTTGATGTCTACATCAGCATCGAAATCAAATGTATGCCTGATGTCAAATATTAGAAAACATTATGATTTATACCCCGTTCACATTACCGTGTATATCACGTGATTTACGTTGTCTTGCAATGAGCACTCATACATCTAGTTTTCACTGGACTTCGGTTAGGCATCTTGATGTCATTAGTGACAACTGTCAAACTTTCCGTTTCCGTTCCGCTTCCGCCCACATTGCGTTTGGGCCTTCATGAAAAATAATGGCACCAGCAGGTAGAGGAATGTTTCCTCTACCAGCTAGCATTGTTATTTTGGAGAGGTAAAATTTCATTCGCCAGAAATTGACGGCTAAAGTCATTGTTTACAAAAGCAATTACGCCCCTTTGGAATGTTGGCACTGAGTTGTTAGTTAGTGCAGAACTTTGGGTAAATTCAAAGATTTTCTTGCACTAACACTTATAATTTACCCCGAGTTCGGCACTAATTGACATCTACATTAGAAAACATCAGAAAACGTTTACATTTAAAAACATCCGAACAACGTTTAGTTCTAACGTTTTTTACATCTGAAAACATCCTTAAAACGTTTGGTTCTAATGTCAATAGATTGAAATTTTTGACGTCAGACCGACATTAGAATGGCAAAATTGTGTTCCAAAATTTCTGATGTATACACCATGTTACGTTGCTTAAATACAACTAATATCCCCCCGTTCACATTACAGCCTATATCACGTAATATAGGCTGTCTTCAGGCTACTAGTGAGTATATGAGATATTCTCAAATTTGAGTCAATTGAACTTAATTTTGGGTAGAAAATACATACGAGTAAGTAATCACAGACAAACAGACATAACACTCACAATTTGTTCATCAAACAAGCATTTAACGAACAATTTAAAAGTATCGTAGTCAATTCCCTTGCGTTTGACGTTTACACACTACCACCATCTGTTCAGTGTAGTGCCTACCACAGTGTACTCAACAGATGGCGGTAATGTTTTAGCGACGATGTTTTACAGTGAGAAATCGACAGTGAGCATGCATAAGGGCCTATACGCGATGATCGATTCTCTTCATCGATTTTCTCTTTGCATTGCTACAGCTAAGCGCAACAATTTTGTAGAATTTATTCAATGTAGAGTTGTAACAGGTTGCATTGGCTATCAAAAGCAACAGCAAACGCACCGACAAACGTTAAATCTAGCGAGTTATTAACAAAAGAGAAAATCGATGAAGAGAATCGATCATCGCGTATACGCCCTTATGAATGCTCACTGTCGAAATATTCAATGTGTTATGTCTGTTTGTCTGTGAAGTAATTATTTTTGCCGTAGCCAAATGCAAACTACTACACGGATAGAAATCTCCTTATACCTTTTGGCAAATTTCTATTGCTGATTATTCATAAAATTTATAAGTCAACTAATAAGCAGACACCTTGCAAAAAGGTAATGAAGATCATGTGTCAAATGAAATGTATAAGCGGTCACACATACCTTTTATGCATTTTTATAGGACCTATGTGGTTTGTCTTATGGAATGTATAAGGCTGATGTTTTGGCAAAAATGTATAAGTGAAACAAATGAATAAAGTAATTGATTTTCGTTTCGTGTATAATGGCGGTAAGCTCCAACTCGGATTAACTTTTAATACCGTCCCTGTTTGTATGATCTGAAAAATGTTTGCTCAGAGTTATATTGAATAACTCTGATGTCGACATCAAACCAGCCGGACATTCTTGATCGGGATTTAATCCGAGGATAATACCGGTTGGAGCTTACCACCATAAGCGATTTACTGAAAATTAGCTTATATTGAACGGAACATGGGAGATGAGTGAAAAGAACTTAATTTTTGGTAATTTTACGGTTCCGTGTACACGGTTAGAAAAAAGTAGCCAAAATTAAGTTCTTTTCACTCATCTCGGCACTATAGTGCAGGAACCCAAAAGTAGGTAAAGCGGGTCAAAGTAGTTTTCATTTACTTGTGTGCGTATGGAATTTTCCACTAGCTTTCTATCCAAAAGTAGGTTAGTTGTACCCAAAAGTAGGTAAACATGATTATACGCAACGTTGGGTTCCCACACTTTACTACCCCTGTTGGGTGGTTTTGCTCCTCCGTTTTTGACAACATTAGAAGGAGAAAAGGAGACAAACTAGTCAAAAGTAGGTGCACAGCAAAAAAAAATGTAATACCGATCAACGTAATTCAAGCTGATGTATGAAATAACGATGTAATAGCAAAAAGCAGATACAATATTACATCAATGGATGTAATTTTGTGATATTACACAACTGATGGATTGACCTGGTTGCAGCAGTTTCGATGTAATATTCAACAACTTTTTTTGCTGTGTGACTTTTTTCTAACCGTGTAGAGCTTTTGACGTTTAATCGGCGCACACTAATGCAGCATTTAAATTGAAGGAGTGCGAGCAAGAGGGAAACAGATTTGTGGGAAAACAAACCGTCCATTCATCCATGTGTGCTAGATAGAGAAAGATAATTAAACGTCAAAAAGGTCTATATAGAGCAATGACATTTATATAAGGTCTGGGCCAACAGGCAGCTTGCTGGTGTTAGAAGCAAAAATGTTGTAAGCATTGCTGAACATCTCCGAACAGATAGAAATACGTCACTGCCAACATACTGATAACAGATAGAAATACGTCACTGCCAACAGCTGTTTCGTGTAAAAAGATAAACATTGAAATAAAATACGAACACCACTATACAATTGCACATTTCACTAACCCAATAAGCCCTTTGGCCCAGACCATATATAAACGTCATTGTAGAGTAGACACGACATTAAACATCAATGAGCTGGATTACCGAGGTGAAGCAATTGGCGTTGACGGCACCGCCGAAAAATCGTCACTTTTAGCAAAGATTGACAGTTTCTTATGAGAATTTTCCGTGGAGCGAAAGGATAGTACAAAAGTCCGCCATGTTTCACGCACAGTCTGACGTTTGCTTATGGATTTTAACATTGGAGAAAAGAGCTACAGAGTCGCCGTCAACGCCAATCAGTTAAGTTGTTTGAGTAAACCCCTGTACGATACAAGCAGTTAGTGACGTCACTACTTGCGTTTACGTTATGTTTTTGATTTACTTATAGCGAATTCGTTTATTATCGGGGTTGGAACCAGTTCCAACCCAATGAGCTGGATTACCGAGGTGAAGCAATCACTCACACAACCACTGTACGATACACGCAAGTACACGCAAGTAGTGACGTCACTACTTGCGTTTACGTTGATTTTTTGGTTTACTAATACAACCCTATTTCACGATCTGCGTCACCTCTCTCTGTACTCATTGGTTCCAACCCAGTGCGAAACCGAACTTTTTGTTAGTGCGAACCAATGAGCTGGATTACCGAGGTGAAGCAATCACTCACACAACCACTGTACGATACACGCAAGTACACGCAAGTAGTGACGTCACTACTTGCGTTTACGTTGATTTTTTGGTTTACTAATACAACCCTATTTCACGATCTGCGCCACCTCTCTCTGTACCTCATTGAGTGCGAACCTCAACCTGAGCTTAAAGCCCTACAGTAAAAGTATGGACGACTGTCACCACAAAACTGAAAAAAGCTGTTCCAATCGAGCAAAGCGGTGCATTTTGACGGTTCGATTGGAACAACTTTTGACAGACGTCCATACTTTTACTGTAGGGCTTTACCTGAGCTGGGTTTTAAAAACAAACGATCAAACTGACGTTTGTCAGAAAACAAGCAGACCAAATCTTGATACCCGATCCAGGTTGAAACTGAATAATAAACGAATAATTCGCAGACAATTCCGCGCCAATGAAATTATTTTGAAGCAAAAGGCGATCGCGATGTTTAATCAATGTGTACAGAGAGAGGTGAAGCAGATCGTGAAATATTGTTGATAACACTAATAGCGAATAGCGATGAACATTTCAAATGGTCCTATCTGCTTTGATCGATTCTCTTCATCGACTTTCTCTTTTCATAGCCACTGCCATGCAAACAGATTTCGCGCTAATTCTATCACATAGTTTGATAAAGGAGGTTCTTATCTAGCGTACAAAACGTCAAATACAACAGGGAAAGGTTTTGCAGCTTAGTTATTAACGAAAGAGAAAGTCGATGAAGAGAATCGATCAAAGCAGATAGGACCATTTGAAATGTTCATCGCTATTCGCTATTAGTGTTATCAACAATATTTCACGATCTGCTTCACCTCTCTCTGTACACATTGATTAAACATCGCGATCGCCTTTTGCTTCAAAATAATTTCATTGGCGCGGAATTGTCTGCGTTGTTTTCTGTTTTGAGGAAAATCTATCACCATTATTGTGCTTTTAGTTTAGAAACGAATCAATTTCACGAGGAAATGGCAATCAATTTAAATTTAAATCAGAACGATGTCGAGGTCAGTCTACGGAATTCGGCTAAAATACACTACATTCCGGCGACTATTCATGGCGACGGACCGGCCAAGGTGGAGCAATACTTTGAATGCTATACGGATGTACTGGACGATAAGAGTAAGTTGTTTGAAATTCTATTTCCCATTCTTAAAGTTGTTCTAATATAGAAATATAACTTCGTTGTAGCTCTAGTAAACGCCCTTCGAGGGTTCCCATTGCGTGGAAAGCATTTTACATTGCCAACTGGTTTCAACGGTGTGATATTCCAGGAAACGAAGAAGCCACTATCAACGGACGAGGATCGTAATTTCAGCTTCGCAGGGGCTTTTAAAGAATTCACCTATTGGAACTTTGACAAGATTCCTTCCAAAAATGATGCATTCGTAAAGGCGCTCGACTGGATGGAACTATCTCAAGTGTTACATGAACCACTTGCTACGGATGAAGATTCAAAAGAGGCGGTGAAAGATGAAAAATAAATTATTTGCTTGGTTTTGTTTGTAATAATGAATTTATTACTTTTTGTATGTCACATTAGAGTGGGGTATTTGTATAAACTCTGTTACTGTAGTAGTTCTAAAGTAAGAAAATGCTTCCCGTTCAAGAGAAGATTATCTACTGAAACGTAAATATTTAAAGTAAATCCTAAACCTAAACTTTCTTCCTTACGCACTCTTCGGGGCTGCCCTGTAGACCCCCACAACGACGGCATGATCACGCTCGTATGGTTCCAATGTGATTTGCTCCTGAGGTTTCAGTTTTTCCGACTGCAGTTTCTTTACCTCTGCCGCAAATACTGCCTCCGGAACGGCTGTCGAATCGATGCAAGACGCCTTGATGGATATGACGAAATGGCCGCCGTTTTTCAGGAACTGATGTGCATTTAGTGCAACGATACGAGCCTGATCGGGTTGGGCAACGTCGGCGAAGATGGTATCAACCAAGCCGACCAACATCCGGTACTTGTGTGGATGACGAGCGTCTTCTATAATCGGAATAATGTTGGTCCGTTTCTTGGCCACGTTAATCAGATCCCGTCCGGATCGGTGTGAAAACTCGACGGCATACACCAGTCCTTCTGGACCCACGACGTCCGAAACGTGTGAAACTGTAGTTCCCGAGGCTGCACCAAGGTACAAAACTTTCGAGCCAGGTGGCATGTGGATCTTGTCAACTCCACCAAGAACGGCAGCGGCCAGCTTTGACCGGAAAGGATTCCATACTCTGTATTCGTTCTTCTCGCCGTCGGTCTAAAAAGAGAATTGCATGAGTTAGTATTATTCTGAATACTGTGTGAACATTCGGAAGAAGTGGTTTTCAAATCAGTTAGCAAGTTATACAATGGAATGCCTCAGAAGCAGTGTGCCTCAGGCTCCTGCTTCCGTAATGAACACTCCATCGTTGGCCACATTCCTGCCAATTCAATACCCCTGTGCAACTTCATCATGGGAAGCAATCATTTTAAAATGCGAATAATCTTAATATAAATTTCTCACCTCAACAGAAATTCGTTTTTCTCCATAAACCTCCGATCCGGGCACCAGATTCAGTGTGACTAGAGCGTCTTCCTTTCCTCTGGCAATGAAAATTCCTTCGTGACGATGAGGCTCAATGACAACGGTTTTGCCTCCCTTGAAGCCACCTCCTTTGGCTCCACCTCCGCGGCCTCCTCCCCGTGGACCGCCACGTCCACGACCTCCTCCGGCTCCACGACCACCACCGCCACCGCGACCACCGAAACCACCACGGCTACCTCCACCTCCACGGCCTCCACCACCGCCTCGACTTCCGAATCCTCCACGGCCACCACCACCGCCTCGACCTCCGAAACCTCCACGGCCACCGCCTCCTCTAGGCGTGAATTCTGGAAAAAACGTAAACAGTATGAGTATTTGAGGTTATGGCAGTGAAAATAATGCGGTGCGATTCGAAAATTTAGAGCAACCAATTTAAGAATTGAGTAATTATTAATCATTCCTTGATGTTCCTGAGAATGATCATTGCATTTTTAACTGATTTAATTTAACGTAATTAATCAAAGTATTACAAAGATTGCTAAGAAATATGGTAGCATCCCATTCAGCAACTACACGAAAACAAACTTACCTGGTTTTCCCATGAGTACAGTTGAATTTGATGCCCTCGAGTGTGCACACTGAACTGCTAACTTTTTAAATTTATTTCTTAGGAATTAATCGGAAAAATACCGTAATATCCGGTATTTGTAGGAGCTAAACTTTAATTCGCGAGCACGCTCTGCTCTGCCGTCTACGCTACGATCAAAACACGTGCGGCTGGTTGGTTGATTTTTTCGATGATGGCCGACAACCTGATCGTTTTTATCGTTTGCTCCGCTCATGTGCTCCCTTCAGAAACGTTCCAAAACGTCAAATTTCATTTTGTCCATGTTCCATTTGTAAACAATTTTTTTTTGTGAAATACGTAAAAGCGCGTATTCTCAGTAATTCTTCAGGAATTTCGAAAGGTTTGTGAATATATTCGTGGAAGATAATGACTACTGTTAAAAAAATAGATCAGAAAGAATACCTCAAACGTTACCTCTCGAACGATAAAGACAAAAAGAAGAAAAAAAGGAAAAAGGACAAATCCGCTGGAAAGTCGAAGTATGTTCCGAAAAAAAAAATCCCTCTTTTAATCATAACTGAGTGCAAACCAAGCCACTTTCTCGTTTCAGCGTAAACATTATCGACGCCGATGACTTTAGTTCGCAAGCGCTGCACGACATTCAGGACGAATCGGATTTGTTCGGGTTGGGTGAAGAAGCACCCCAGATAGTAGGCATAATTGACGAGCGACCTCCGGAACTGAAGGCCAAGGAGGACTTCAGCAGCAGCAAGTGGAAAAAGCTAGCTGCAGACGGCTGCAGTGACGGGTGGGGTGCTGTTGCTTCCAGTTCAACTGGTTCCGTCGGAGAATGGGGACGAAGAAATGACCGAAGCCCTCCGCGAACGCAAAGGCGGAAGCATTCAGATGAGAGTCCTCCGCGGAGAGAAAAGAGGGCCTCGAAATCGGATCAGAGTCCGCCTAGAAAGATGCCTGTTGGCGAGAAGGATCTAGATGAATGTCCTCCCAGAAGGCAACGACGAAGGGATTCGGATGAAAGTCCTCCTAGGAGAAAAGAGAAAAGAAGACCGGAAGCCAATAGTCCTCCCAGAACAGCGAAGCGGTATGATAGTCCACCCAGAAGGAAAGCGGATGGTAGATCAAGAAGGAACTCGGACGAAAGCTCACCTCGACAATCTCCCAAAGAACGCAAGCGACAAGATTCTGGTGAGAGTTCGACAAGGCGAAGAACAGAGCTCAAGCCAAGAGGACAGTTGGACTCTGATCAAAGTCCTCCCCGAAAGAGACGAGATGAAGCTTCCCGGCACGGCAGAACACGGCAAGATTCGGGATCAGATATAAGTCCACCGAGGCGTTCGAACCAAGACCGGATACGAGACAAACAAGAACGCAGTCCGTCCCCTGTACACAGTCGAGCTTCTGTGTTTAGCTTACGACGGGTAAAACAGGAACCACCAGATTCGGACGCGAGCCCTCCCAGAAGACGACACCGCTCACCGGATTCCGATCAAAGTCCGCCACGTCGAGGGACGCGCGAACGTCGCAGTCCTTCCGCGAGGATAAAACGAGAACCTAGAAGTGAATCCCCGCAGGCTGGTCCTTCATCATCCCGCAAGATGACTACCACGTTGGATGGAAAGCGAGCTGGCTTGCAGGATGCCCGCTCACTGAAGGAAGAAACCGATAAGTACCGACAGCGAGAGAATGAACTGTTTGACAAAATGTCTGCCGATGCTTCCGGTCGGTATGCGAAAACAGTGGTTCGTGAAAGATCCGGAAAACGTCGTGACGTCGAAGAAGAGCTCCGACAGGAGTTTGAGAAGCGGAAGCTAAACGATAAGAAGAAGGCAGTCTACACTCGTTGGGGCAAAGGGTGAGATGTCGATCTTGTATCCAAGCTATTTATTTGATGTATCGATTGATGTCCTTTTCAGCGTGAAGCAAGTGGAAGACTATAAAGCCCAACTGGAAGAAGCTGCCCATGAGATGAACAAACCATTAGCCAGATATGAAGACGACAAAGATCTGGACCAGTATTTGAAACAGCAAGAACGCATCGGTGATCCTATGTTGGAGTACCTTCGGAACAAGAAGCAGGAAAAGGATCGCCAGGAAGGTCGCCCCCAAAAACCGTTATACAAGGGATCATTTCCGGACAACCGTTTCGGAATTCGTCCCGGTTATCGCTGGGATGGTGTCGATCGGTCCAACGGTTTTGAAAAGAAGTGGTTCGAAATGATGAGTAAGAAGAAGGCCGTCGAAGAGGAGGCCTACAAGTACAGCGTGGAAGACATGTGAAGGATGGTAAGTATCTTAGCTATATTTCTTTCCGGTCCCGATCACCCGATTATATTATACATTGTATCAGTCTAAATTTAATTCGGTTTCTTCAATATCACCACTGCCCTTTCGTTGCTTTCTTTTCGATTTCTTTCCCGAATGATAGTCCTTAGTAGGCTCGGTTTGCACTTTCGGTTGTTTTCTGTACTTTTGGCGTAGATTCTCACAGGGTTGACCTTCCTCTCGGGAGGACCACACGGGCATCCACGGTTTTGCCTGGACACTAACGACACCTCCTCGATTGGGAATCTGAAAATGCTTTCGATTAGATCAACTCACACATTCGTCCAAAAATTCTTACCACCAAATTTCCCTGGAACACGTTCTTCCGGCTACCCTTGAATCGTGTGGAAGTGACCTTCTCAAGCCGCAACAGATCCCGTGTAGTCACCAATAAATCCGAAATATCCCGCTTGCTCAGACTGTCCGCCAAGGCACTGATGTTGCGTTTCCTCTGTCGACACACTCGCGCTACCTCCAGCGAGGTGTTTGCTTTCCATTGGAAGCTGGCCATGGTTAGATCCAACCTTGTTGTCATCATCACTCTCCGTAAGTTGTATTCCTCCTGTAAATCTGCATGACACCGATCCAATCGAGCCCATTGATCATCGGTAAGATCCGTCTCCGGGCGAAACAGTAGATCGCTTTGGGTGTGAACATCGGTAAGCTCGTTCAAACGATTATGCATTAGGTCAAATATTTCACCTACACTTGATGGCACATTCTGCACATCAAGATTTAAATGATCGAACATTTGCCGCAATTCATTCGATGGCGTAGAAGTCTGAATCTGAAGTTGGAACTCCCGCTGTTCCTCGTCCCGCTTCTGATTGCCTATCAATCCCGCGATGCATTCCCCTACCAAATAATCTACCAACAGCAGAGCATCGTATTCCGAGCGAAACCTGGCACTCATAGGTCCCTCCAGTAAACTGTGATAAGGGCAAGCCAACTCCTTTAGGAAGGACGAAATTTCCAGAGCAAAACAGGGCAAATCATCCACCGAAGATACGGTTTCGTCGATTTCGGTATGGTGCTTTATCTGCTCTGTTAGCCATAACACTATCTCACGGTAGTCGTTGTCTGATAAGCCGATGCGCAGTTTTTCCCCCAAAGATGATGCATCACCACTTTCCGTAGGTGTGTATCTTGTAAATTCAAAGGTAGTGTATTAAAATTTCACAATTAAATTTGGTTTAGACTCAATGCTTACCCCAATTGCAGTAGAAGCATGGATGTATTCATCTTTCGTTTCAGTTCACTTCACGACTTACTGGTAATATGGTTTAAATGCGATATCAATTTGTTTTGCTTTTCTAATGCCAGAGGCATACATAGGAGGTGTGGGCAGGTTTATGGACCCTTTCAAATCTATAGTCGCTATATTAATAGTCTGGCGGATAGAATCTCGGGAACCAATTGAGCTGTCAAATAGCGGAACTAATCGAGCAAATCACGACCAACAGAAAAGAGCACATTAGCTATTGCGAACAAAACTTCGGAAACACTTTTCTCGTGACTCAAGGCTCACCAACGCAAACTAACACCATCTTTGGGTTGAGAAAAGTTTCCCCTATCCGATGATGCCGCTAATTTGCGTTCGATTGGCAAGGCTAGAATATTCAACGTTTTGTTTATAAAAGTTGATAGAACCTTTTCAATTGTTGGTCTAAAATATATTGAATTGGTTCCACTTTTTGATAGATCGTAATTCTATCCACCAGACTATGAATATAACGACTATAATCAAATCTATAGTGTTCTAAAGTTCAGAATATCAAGGGCCGTACTCAATACGCCTTTTTAATAGAAACTAAGCGATCGATTCAACCTCTGGTGGTGAATATGAGAACGTCAAAAAGAGTGTTGTGAGCAGAAATTTTGGCCGTGAGACATTAGAAGCGGAACACTTTTTGACTTTTTCTGATAAATTGATTCATCTAAGATGCTCAAAAACTTGATCTAGTTGAAAAATTTAATTCTGTATCATTTTTGCAAGGATTCTGCTAGTGCTCAGGAATATTTTTGTTGAGAAAAATGGAAATTGCAAGAGTGCCTTAGTGGTTATGATCTTCCGGATTTCTTGTGTGTGAATAGTTTAGGTGAAAATCAGTATAGATGTGTGGAAAATCGTAAAATAAGACAATAATTATTACTGATGGAAATTGGCAATTGGTTCAATGAAAAATGCTTTAATTTGCGTTGTGCAAAATCCTTCTACTGATGTAAACAAACGGTTTAGTTGACGTTTCCTCTCGAATTCGCGTGGTGCCCTCTGAAAACCATAATGAGAATGGTTCAGTCAACTTTTATCGAACCATACGTAGGTAAAGTTTTGACCATATTGATTAAGGTTTTCGAAGACCTAACCATACGAATAATGCGTGGTTAAGAACGTTCACCATATGAAATCTCACTTTTTGCCATACAAAGAAACTATAGCCTAACCACATCAGAAAAGGTTCAAGTTGGAAATGTGAAACCTATTTCCATTAACGTTCGAATAAGGTAGTACCATAGAGGTAACTCTAAGACCACTGGGTCCCGAAGAAAATCATTATTATTTTTGGCTCACTCAGTACCAGAACAACGGTCCCAAGCAGTCCCAAGCTATTTCACTCACCCCTGCATGTTCTGCATGAATCCACACACCCCTGATGTTATCTGTCAAACTTTCATAGCGAATCAAAACAAACATAGTGTAGTAATAGAATTTCAACTAGAATAGGGTACGTTAATCGTTTGCTTGGGACCAATAGGCTACTAAAGTGGTGAGCCAATTTAAAATCGTTAGTTTCGTATTGATTGTTGGTAGTACCGTAGTACGTTTTAGAACCAACCATTGTTGTTAACTTTATTATATACTATGACCGGGTAGAAATGACCATACTTATCGACGTTATAATACTGTCGTAGCTTATGTGGAATACAGCAGATATAGTTTGTTCTTTAATTTTAATGTGATTTACAAGATTGCTTTTTGTGAATACCTCTCCCTTCACTTGGAAATTGTTTGTTCTTCAGATAATTATAGCAGTAAAAAAATACAATGCGCCTGCAAAACGAACCTCCATTCTATTTCTGATAAATAGATAAATTTTCACCAGCAAAATGAACCTGCTTGGGTTGATGTGAGCCATGTAGACCGCTGTTACTTATCCATAATGGTTGGGATTGTCAAAGGCCCTAGATATTTTTGTAGGAAATACATGCTTTTTTAAAAATACTGGTGGGCGTTGGCCAGATTTTGATTTTTCAGATATAATCCTAAATAGGACCTAGATTATTTAATACTCTAGTAACCTCAAGTCCGTGCTCTGTCACAATGTTTCATTGTGATTAATCAACACTCAAAGGGGTAAAATATCAAATTTGGGGTGAATTTGAAAGAAAGGGAACTTGGAGTGTAGAGCGCACTGCCCACTGAACGATTCTGAAGCCTGGCCAAGTGAGTGGGGTATGGGTTAATTTGATTGAACGTCATTTCCAATTTATATATTTATACATTCATACCATTGGCATTTGGTATTAGAGATTAGACAGAGATAGGATGTGGAGGGCCCGCTTAGGGGGAGCGTAACCCATGTTATAGTTTCCATTTATTAAATACTTCAGCTAGGCTAGAAATGATAGGTTCATAGTGAGAGAATGTACCATATCAGGCATAACATTTGATAACGGCACAAAAGCATTTGTAAACAAACTTTCTAAGGCCCTTTACACGCGAACCAAAGTACGCCCACGCAAACCAATACCACTTACGGAAAGGTGAGAGTTGCTCCCATCCGATGATAATGTTGGTTTGCGTGAGCGTACTTCGGTTCGCATAAAGGGCCTTAGAAATTTTGTTTACAAATGCTTTTGTGCCGTTATCAAATGTTATGTCTGATATGGTGCCCGTTCACTGATCAAAATCAGATTCACATCATCAGGCCCTGCCCAAGAATAAGCGGATGGACGATGATTTGTCGTGATTTGTCAAGTTTTATTTTGCAATTTGCTTATAATTGTAATTGATTGAATGAATGAATGAATTAAGTAGTTAAGATAATAATAAAATAAGAATAATAAGATAACGTAACATGATGCACTAACTAATTAACTGGATTAACGGGATCGACTATGGGAATAGAAACCTAAATTAATAACATATTTAAGATTATCGAGATTTAATAACCAATAATTGTGAAGATCAGGGCTCTACAATTTCGAAGCTCTAAAATGAACTCGTGTTTTGTTTCTCTCATACATACGTGTTCGACGCTTCATTTCTATAACGCCTAGCTAGACTATCAGCAAGAAACGAAAATAAAAAAGAAGGACGCTTGGAAGGAAAGGCTGGCTGTGGAACTTCTCGTCGTTGCTTTGCTCATCGCTTTCAATGTAAATAACGTCGATTTTCTAGTTAAACGAACTTCATTATGGCTTTCAATCCCCTTTCACGAACACTCTATCGCCGCTCTTTCAATTTGTTTAAAATGCGTTATGTCCCGTTTTCGATCATTTTTTTTAGATAAATATATGGATGGAAGATAAATTAGAAATATGACGTGTAATCTTCAAGTGTTTTGACGTGAGAAATGCTTTAAATGTGTTATTTCATTTTCCGTCATATACGTCTTGAAACCTCTGTTGATGTGTTTCATGAAAGAGAAAACTATCAAAGTCGAGCGCTCTTTCGCTCATCCATTTCGACGAAGCTTGAAAGGAAGACCAATGGAGCGACGGGAGAAAGAGAGACAAGCGATTGAACATTTGTTTGTGCACGCCGACTGAGGTTCTAGAATGCTGCGAAGCTGTTCGACTTTAACAGAAAAAGAAAGCCAGCAGTCTCTTCGTCGCATCGATTTGGTCGATTGAAGCTGATATTGTGACGCCCTGGTGAAGATATGGATTGGGAAGGGGATCTGGGAACATTTACATAAAGTTCGCCCATGGGGAGGGATATGATAAGACGGAAGCTACAATAGGAGATGAACACAATAAAGGAATGCATTCAGGAGGAGGGGCTTGTTAAAGCACTGTTTTTCAGAGTTACAGATTTCTGTTTTTCAGGTCTCGTATTCAGCGGAACGCGAGGATGGAAGTCATGATAAACGACTAACGATAAACTAATCCCAACAAAGTTTTGAAGAGAAACCATTAACTAGTTGCAGTTGAAAGGAGATACCTACTTGAAATTTTCTATTCCTGTTTCCGTCGGTATTTGTTTTTGTCTCGTTTCAGTCAAGCAACTGATTACTACCAATAACCAATTACAATTAACTAGTGAAGAAGTATAAACGAATTTTGTTGATTATGATTATGAATTAAATCCGCCAGAACATCACAGCAAAGGCAAACACTAAGGCGGTGGAGCGTCAATAAGTAAATCAAGCAAGCCGATAGGAATTTGACCTGGGTCCAGGTCAAGCAGCTGCACAGAATGGAAGTCTTTCACGTTTGCCCTGTGCACCTCTGAAAGTTCCCAGGTATTTGAGTACGACAGCGATGGACGTAGCCCCCTTGGAACGGCGTTTTTTTTTTTTTTTAATTCTTTATTTAAGAGATTTTTAGCCTTAGGCTAGTTCATCTCTGCATTGGAACGGCGTGTTTTTTTTAGTTCTTTTTATTTCTTTTCAGCAAAACAACAAAATCCTCTATCTCTCTCTTTATTCTTTTAATCTCTTACTATCCCCTAATCGGACGCTAGTGGGACCAACAAGCCTGCTAGTGAAAGGAAAGTCGTTATGCTATACGGTCTAGCATAGGCCACGACTAAATTTCCGTAGGTTCATGCCTGGCTTAAGTGCAGATCGGTAGGCAGCAGCCGGCCAGGGTGTGAACTGAGCAATAACAATAATAACAATAACAATAAATACATGCTTTTTTAGAAATACTTTATACTTTAAGCATATTATTCATAATAACGATGAAACATGTTTTCCATTTGGAGTAAAGTTTTAAAAATAAAATAATAAAGCCAAAAAAAAAAAACACCGTGAACTCATGGCCGCCGTTCCAAAGAAAAGCATTTTCTTTTGTTTGTGCCAATTGCAAAAACGTAAAACAACTATAAGCAAAACACGTAAGCATTGTACAAGTTGTATACAACTTTTATTCGTAATGTTTTGAAACAGTTCAAAATAGTTTCGTATAGTTGATCAACCGTAACAAAATGTAGTTGGAATATACCAGAAACTGTAACAGCAGAAAGTAATGTTTCTTTTCTGTTTATTACATTCCTTAAACCATAACAAAACTATTTTGTATAAAGTTAACATAGCTAGTAAGGTGTCAGTGAAGTTCGAACTGTTCTAGAAATGGTTCTTTTCTATGTGATACTCTGAAAAATCTTCACATCCCATTGACGTGAAAATTTAGGTGGTTTTCGTTCACCTTATTTTTCACGTAACTTTTACCGGGATTGCACGTAGCCGATCAAAATTCAGTTTCAATTATCTACGTGATTAGTCAGGTAAATAAGACCTGATTTCCACGTACTGCTTACGTGAAATCGGAGTGAAAACTACTGGACATCTGGTGACTTCTACGTGACGTTCCGTTTTGTTTAAAATGCTTTTCATGTAATTTGTACGTGAATTTTTAATGAGAATAATTGGGAACCCTGTCCAAGGATGAGGGGCTTGATGATGATTTGTCAAGTGTCGCTAAGATTTTTTTTTTGCAATTTGTTAAAATTGTAGTTTTTCTCCAGTTCATTGATTTTAAAGGTTCATGCGAGTTAATTTCACGGAGCCGTAAATTGTAGTTTTATCATAATTTTAATATTAGCATAAAATAAAATAGTAATTTTAAATTCGCTTTTGTAATGCTAAGGTAAATAGTTTGCTTTGAGTGTAAAGTTAATTTATAAGATAGTTCTAACAGTTTTTTTTGCACTTCGAAACTTGACGGGTCATACCTCTAACATAGTAGCAGTGACAGTGTCGCATGTCCTAACAACAACTGCCTGCGACTTGTGTTCGAGGGGCCGACAGAGCTGAATACGGGTCAATACTAACAAAACTCTAACACTAACATGACCCCGAAACTAACGTTCATCCATTGCACTAATACACTGCAAATACAATTCACGTAATATTCACCTGAAAAGGTACGTAGATATTTTCCATCATACTTTTCAGGTGAATATTACATGTTTTGGGAATGAAATGCGGATTTTTATTAAATAAAATTTAACTTATTTGTTAATTTTTTACTTTATTACAATTTACATAAAACTGTTCTTTTTAGTAACTATCATGTGTATCAAACTTATTCTTAATTCTATACCCTGTTGCACTGGCTGTTGTTAAGTTGATTGTTTTGCATTTGTTTGCTCCACAATGCTCTATAAAAATTGCTGCTTCTGAATAAAGTTATAGTTGGTTATTGGTTTATTTAAAACATTAAGTTTGATTCTTACATTTATTTTCCTCCAACAACTGATGACTTCCAATAGATGTCTGCTGTAGTTCGGCGATTAAGCTTGTGAGAACTGCTGAATCCGATTTTACACTCTTCAATTTATTTTGAATGTTGAAAATTAGGATTCATGTATTGATATTAATCAAACTTACACTCGCATATTTTCATCTGCCGCCATTTTGAACTAACAAATACGCAAAGACAGTTTTCACATCATGAGGTTACTTAAAATTGACGTGAACTTCACTTAACATTTATCTGTATGACACTTGAACTCCATCAGTCAATCTAGTGGAATTCATTACCATGCCATTGATATTTATGTGCAGCATGTAATTCTTATTGGATTTCTATTTTTGAAAGGTTACCTGATTTTTCAGGTGAAATTTACGTTTCTCGTTAGTTCAGTGTATGAATATTTACACTCATTGTTCTCAAAACAAAAGAAACGTTCCTAGCGAATCCCCTTTTTTAACGTATATCAGTAGGACGAAGAAAATCTTATGGCGTTTCAATGCGTTAGGACGAAATTGAAACTCGTAGGACGAATTTGGAATCAAGAAGCAGTGTTAGATTTTTAATAATATCTCAACATTGTTTGACTCTTTATCAAATCCAACGGCACGTATGGAAAGGTGAATAAATTTAGAAGTTATCTTTGACATTCCATGTTTTGTTCAAACCCTTTAAAAAAGAGAGGTAAAGTGCGATATGTGCTTAGTAGGACGGAAATTAGATCAAAAACCCTATGTGATTATTTTCGGATTACTTTTAAAAATGTTTATCATTTGAGTAGAACAATTTTCTCCTGCAAACTCTCGGCTTATTTTTGGGCATCTTAAGCTCTCGGAATCGAGAGCTTCTTTCATACGACGATCCTTGTCAACATGGAAAGCGAATGCGATTTTTCGAACTCGCTGAATAAGTTAATTCCAACCCGCCTGCATGAGTAACACCATCATAGATCTGACGTCGTGCTACGACTGAAACGCAATGTGGGCGGAAGCGGAACGGAAACGGCAAGTTTGACAATTGTCACAAATGACATCAAGATGCCTAAAACGCTGTCCAGACTGGAGAGTTATAACATGTTATAACGGTTGTCAAATAATTGCAACACAAAAACCACCATCAAGATAGCACTATAACATTTTATAACCAACAATCAATACGAAACTAACGATTTTAAATTGGCTCACTACTTGACTAGCCTATTGGTCAAAAGCAAACGATTAACGTACCCCATTCTAGGTGAAATTCTAGTCCTACACAATGTTTGTTTTGATTCGCTATGAAAGTTTGACAGATAAAATGAGGGGTTATTGGGTTTTCCTATGTTTCGAGGGGTGAATCGATTTTAGCTTGGGACCGAAGATAGTACCACAGCTGAGCCAAAAAGTTGAGCACGTTTCTTCGGGACCTACTAGTCTTATAGTACGTTCAGACTACAGAGTTATAACATGTTATAGTGCTATCTTGATGGTGGTTTCTGTGTTGCAATTATTTGACAACCGTTATAACATGTTATAACTCTCCAGTCTGGACAGCGTTTTAAACGCCGTCCAGACTGGAGAGTTATAACATGTTATAACGGTTGTCAAATAATTGCAACACAGAAACCACCATCAAGATAGCGCTATAACATGTTATAACTCTGTAGTCTGAACGTACTATTAAACGCTGTACAGACTGGAGAGTTATAACATGTTATAACTCTCCAGCCTGGACAGCGTTTTAGCCATCAGCAGCGAGTCATTCAAACAGTTTTTAACATCTAGGCAGGAAGCTGACGTTGGTTCGATTTTGTCTTTCTGGACGCCTTGAATAAATTTTCGTATTTGCGGAGTAATTTTGATTGCCCTCTGAACAGCAGCACTATTTTCCAACCATCGATGACCGCAAAACTTTAACGGGAATATGGTTGAACCAGAATATATCGTGATAAACGCTCGTCTTGTAGATACCACGCAAATATTTGACAACATCCCAACTGATACTGCGAACACTATCCTTGAATGCATTATGCAAAATATACAGCCCATAGCTTCCCAGATCTACACGGTAAGAAAAAAGTACCCAACGGCCAGTTCACTTTTACCTACTTTTGACTAGTTTGTCTCCTTTTCTCCTTCTAATGTTGTCAAAAACTGAGGAGCAAAACCACCCAACAGGGGTAGTAAAGTGTGGGAACCCAACGTTGAGTATAATCATATTTACCTACTGTTGGGTACAACTAACTTACTCTTGGTTAAAAAGCCAGTGGAAAATTCCATACTAACTGCACACAAGGAAATGAAAATTACTTTGATCCGCTTTACCTACTTTTGGGTTCCGGCACTATAGTGCCGGGATGAGTGAAAAGAACTTAATTTTGGCTACTTTTTCTAACCGTGTATCAGCTTCTCGCCACCTTTTTGTACCTCTAGCTTCAATTCACATTGGGCCCATCCATGGACACTTGCAGCAACTTGTTCGAAGAGATACCGCCAAGGGCGTCCATAAACGCAGCGAGTAGATCTGATGCCCGGGATCTTCCCAAAAACTTTGACGTCATGCACTGATAAAATTTCAAAGATTGTTTTATGTGTCCCACACATGATTTTTTGCAATGTGATCAGATCAACATCATTTTTTACCTGACCTAAACTAAAATTCACTTACTTTCCAGATCATAAATAGAATTCCCTGACTTTCCAGGTAGTCGAACACCCTGCTCGAGTTAGTTGGCGCAACATTGTAATGCAGGTAAAATCCTGTCGGACATCGGACTAGCAAAAGTAAAAATAGGCAAGTGATAATAATAGAATTGGATCAATGTTCGCTGGGTGCTTTGAGGATCTTTGATTATTTATTTCAATCTCATGATTCGAAAATCAATCGTATGTTGCAATCGTACTTTTTTTTACAATTGAACATAGCAGCACGCCCTTCTACCAAAAATTGTTTAGGCTATTTCCTAATCGAAATAATTTACGCAAACTGGGGTACAGATGTAAAAATGCCTTTCTGATGATTATTTAGTCATGCATGTGACATAAGCCAAGCTGCTCAACGCCGTCCCCCTCGGTTGTAGTTTGATCGACCACCACCGCCGCCACCCCCACGGTTATAATCATTGTCGTATCCACCATTGCCACCACCTCTGTTGTGTTGATCTCCATATCCACCCCCTCCGCTGCCACGGAAACTCGAACCACCGGAACTGTTACTGTATTGGTCGCTGTTCGAATAACCTCGACCCGATCCAGAACTGTAACCGCTAGTGCTAGTATTGCTGCTGTAGCTTTGATTGAAATCTAAAATTGACAATATTGGTTATCTAGAAAATACTTAATTTTGGATAGGGGCAGGTACCTTTTTGGGGCTGAGACCATCCTCCTTGAACGCGACTCCCACCGCCTCCTCCACGATTTTGATGGTAACCGCCACCGCCTCCCTGGTTGAAACCGCCCTGATTTCCTTGACTGTATCCACCTCCTCCTCCTCCCCCTTGGTTATAACCCTGTTGATGACCTCCCTGCTGCTGGTAGCCTCCTCCACCACCTCCGCGGTTCTGGTGACCACCCTAAAACAATATAATTTCGTATAATTTCTCTATTTTTGTGTTTTCGATTGTATTATTAAGTAGCTGCATAAACTTACAGTAGCATCCTAAAATAGTTTAGCGCAGCATTGCAATAATTAATAAGGGAAAATCAATGTTTGCCAGTTCATTCCCTACCCATATCTAGTAACAAGGCAATTTAGCACAAATCACGACATCACTTACCCTTCCGCCGCCAAATCCTCCGCGTTGCCCACCACCACCGGGTCCTCCGGTGCTACGTTGGGTTTGCCAAGATGGCATCTCCAGCGGTGGAGGGTTATGCTCATAAGCTCGTCCACCTCGATCTGGAACCCGCCCGATAATGTGTCGCTGAATCTTGCTTTTGGTGTTCCTCCGAACGCTGGCACTGCTCGTTTTCTCTATAATGGCCATGGTTTCTCGAGCCCCCAGCAATGCAGCTAAATCCGTATCTTTTCCACCGGTTTGCAAAGAATCCAGTACCTTTCGCTTCTCCGCATAGCGTTCGTTCATCTGCCCGTCCTTGCCCTTCACTCGGGTGGACCACTTAAAACTCTGAATCGTTACGTCTAATCGAGTGAGCAACATCTTTCGTCTGAGATCGTACTCCGCATCTAGATCTTTGTGTAGCTTGTCCAGTTTGTTCCATTGCTCCATCGTCAGTTTCTTACCCGGTGAAAACAGTGGACAGCTAAGCCGTTTTTCACCGGCCATTTTTATGGTCTCATCCAAACGTACGTTGATCTTCTCAAACAGGGCCTTCGCCGGAATGTTGTTCGGTGGCTTTCCCAAACCCAACGTAATGGATATATCCTTCAGTGCGGAAGCTGTTGGTGATTCGAACAGCGTAATAACGTTCGTTTTCTCCTTTGGCTTGAACGATTCAATCATTTTAAATGCCATCAGCTCGTTCATTAGATACTCCAGCAGGATTACTTTCGAGTCGTATGTTTGCAACCTGTCGGATACGTGACCCGAGGTGAGATTCGCATAAGGACAAGTCAGTTCCTTCAAGAATCCTGACAGCTCCAGCACAAATGCACTGGCGTCCTCACTTTTCGAGATTTTCTCATCTAGCTTTCCGAGTACTCGGATTTCATCGGTAAGCCAGATCACCACGTCTTGAAACTCGCCACTCTGCGCACCGGCAGCCATAGCAGTTGCGGCGTAGTTTAGATCCAGGAAGGGACCGTCGTAGCTAGAATAAGCAAAATCAATTTATGAAATCAGATTTTCGGAGGATATTTCCAACTTACCCGACGTTTTTCAGCTCATCCAAAAGTTGCTCCTCCATTCTCACCGAGAAAAGCTTGCTGCTGTGGCAGATATGATTGCCGGTGAAAGAAGTATCGCTCGTTTGTACGGTTTTGCTTAAGTTACCTTGAAGAATTGTTCTGGCAACAAAAGCATTCGAGATTAATATCAATAGTTTATTTGTTAAGAATAAGATATTTTAAGAAACATACCTATAATTGTTAATAAAAAATCAGCAATATTTTTAGTTTCCTATGGTGAAAAACCCGAAAACATCACCAAAATGTCAATGTGACAGGACAGGATCCGTGCTCGTACTGGGAATCAGAGCTGCCAGGTGGTTTTATAAAAAATCTGTATCCACTCTATTAAAAAATCTGTATTTTCTGTATTGACGATTTTTTCTTAATTAATCATGTTTTGTTGTTTACAAATACAGTGCATACAAAATAACCATAAAAAGTGCTTAACCACCTATTCGGGCTATCGTACTAGCCATACGGGATATAATTGTGCCATTTGTGATATCGTCCGTACTTATTTATAAGAGTGATATGAAGCCGTTTGAAAATGTATGGAGATTTTAGTTTCTATTCATTATCTTCCTGTAAAGCAGTTTTAAATGCAAAAAAGTGCACGAGTTCATTACTATTTGATATTTTAAATATAGATGAAAACAATTAATTACATCATTTGTGTGGTAGTTACACCGAAAAGTCGAGAGATGTCGCCCCGCCAGTGCTGGTAAAATCATTTTTGCAGTATGGAGAATATCAGAAAATCCGCAATTTCTTACGAAATACATTTTCAATGCAAGTAAAATGTTTACGAGTACTTGTATTTGTACCATTTTAATGTGCTCGGGCACTTTTCTTGTATTTAACATACATGCTTATATAGGAAATATTCAATTAATACTGTAAATCCCCATACAATCTCAAATCGTTTACTACCAGCTCCATATGCATCCGAAAGCGGTTGGTCCTCTGGTTGTGAATGCTGTCAAAAACACCATAACATGATTAATTGTCGATGGAAATTTGATAGGTTCCCGAGCAGAGGGTGAGAACAAAATGAAAACAAGAATTATGTTGTTTTCATTATTCCTGATAACTCAAATTGATTTCATTTTGATGGAGTTGATGGCTAACAGAACAAAAATGAGAGCTAAAAGATATGCGAAGAATATCAAAATTATAACATATATTGATATTAGTGAGAACTGCTTGATAACTTATTTTGATATAGATATTTTATTTAGATTACAAATTTAGTTATCAACATGTTATTGCATGCATGCCGAAAAAACAAAATAAAAATACATCAAATTTTGATGTCATCATGAGTTATTAAAAGGCAGCTATATAAACGCACGGCGGCGGTGGGTTAGATTCCCGGTCCGGTCGAGGGAAATCAATCTTTCGGGTTGGAAATTTTCTCGACTTCCCTGGGCATAGAGTATCATTGTGCTTGCCACACAATATACAATTTCATGCATTGGTATTGGCATCGAAAGCTTTCAATTAATAACTGTGGAAGTGCACTTAGAACACTAAGTTGAGAGCACGCAATAAGCTAATATGCACAAAGCAATAAGCTTGATATGCGAATAAGAAGAAGAAGAATATAAACGTACAGTGGAATCGATTAAATGTTCCATAAACTTTTTAATTTTTTTTATGTTAGAGGAGCATAGCGACGAGTAAGCTTCTTCTAGTCTTTTGAGCCAAATTGGATTTCGTTTTCTTTCATGTTCGCCTTTTTCCTTCTGTGAAGTTATATTTAGTAGAGAGTCGTGAATTTTGTGATATTCTCCATACTGCAAAAACAGTTTTCCAACCACTGGAGGGGCAAAAACTCTCGGATATTTGATAAAACTACCACTCAACCAAATATGGTTTTTAGCACAACAATTAATTTTGGAGAGAAGGGGGTACGCTGATAAAATCGAGCAGGTTATTTTGTTTTTATAAATTTTGAATTTTTTTTCTCAAGCATTTTATAAAAATCTGTATAAATCTGTATTGTAATTTAAAAATCTGTGATAAATCTGTATTCTGTATCGGGTCTGTATTAAGATTAAAAAATCTGTATAATACAGATAAATCTGTATAAATGGCAGCGCTGCTGGGAATATCATCGAAAAGCGTAATCGCGAGGCAATGTAATAATGAATTAGAATTTGTCGTCTCTTTTCTTCCTCCGCTGTTAAAATGGTTTACGGAGTAGACGTCAAACTCCGTCGTATACGTTCAAACAGCGGAGGAACACAAAAGACAACAAATTCTCTGGGCCTCACATTCATTTATTCTACCCTTCAGGATTTTCATCATTCGGTTTCTCCAAAGATATATAATTCAGTGCCAACATTTCAAAGGGGCGTAATTGCATTTGTAAACAATGGCTTTAGCCATCGATTTCTCGCGAATAAAAGCTCACTCATAAAAATTTATGACACCAACAAGTAGATGAATGTTTCCTCTACTAGCTAGCATTGTTAACTTGGAGGAGTGAGCATTAATTTTCGAGAAATCGACGTCTGAAGCCATTGTTTACAAAAGCAATTACGCCCCTTTGAAATGTTGACACTGAATTTATAAGATTTCCCACTAATCAAATTCCTCAAACAAGGCATCGATATAGAGATTAGTGACGTTTAACGCACGCACACTAGCAGGAGCAACGCCGTGTAAAGTTGTTTATTATTTTCCTCTGGCTAACCTAAAAAATGTATGAAAGTAGATCTGTCAAAATGAGTTTGACATCGATTCGTTATGTATTTTCCTCGGATATTCACTAACACGCTCTCACAATACAATACAACCGGACGTGAAAATCTCTATAACCACCCTTATATGTAATAGGCTCTTTTCATGTACCATCAATGTAGGCTAGTCTATTTTGAGAGGAAATCTCGATGAACATTTCAAATGGTCCTATCTGGTTTGATCGATTCTCTTCATCGACTTTCTCTTTTCATAACCACTGCTATGCAAACAGATTTCGCGCTAATTCTACCACATAGTTTGATAAAGGAGGTTCTTATCTAGCGTCCAAAACGTCAAATACAACAGGGAAAGGTTTTGCAGCTGAGTTATTGACGAAAGAGAAAGTCGATGAAGAGAATCGATCAAACCAGATAGGACCATTTGAAATGTTCATCGAGAAATGTCATCCAATCCATTTGTTTACATCGTAATTAAAGAGCCTGAATTTATAAAGAGACGATATGTCAGAATTGGAACAATCGATTATCTGTCAAAGTCATAGGAAAAGTCATTCCAATCGAGCAGAAGACCAGAGAAGACCTGTCAAATGGATAAGATGTCGCTTCTTTATAGATTCAGGCTCTTTAATCGTAATGACGATTTTCAAAACTCAAAAGAATGTACACTCAAAAATATTACAAAACGAATATAGATTAAATTTTATACATTTTATGGTTTTTCAAAATTTATACATTGGTTCAATTAAAATTTTCGTCAAAATTATACTAAGTCCGAATAACGGAGTGGAATTCGATCAGTGTTTACTAAAATGACAGGAAAAATAACATTTGGATTCTCTTCGCAGCTTCGCGCTTGTGAAGAGCTTTGTTCCGGCGGATTTCAACTGCGCCTGTGATCTGCTGGGCAGCTAGACTGCGTGAGCTCGTGAGCACGAGTTCATATTAATGAACATCGAAATGGTAAGTATTTTTTAAATAATATTCATAAAAAATAAAATAATTAAAAAACCTTCCTGAGAAATTTTTTATTTCTATTTGAAAACAATAATATTTACCATAAATAAAATAAAGAAGCGAAAAAGACATTCTCTCGATTAAACCGTATCTATACATTGTAAGTATATTTCGATTTTATACTATGGCACGCATAAACCATTTTTATACTAAGTTTGCATTCTCTCCATTTATACCGACCTTTGCGTGAGCTATCACGCTAACTTCTGCTTACTCACCAGGTGAGTCGATCGTACTCACTTTCGTCCGATGTATCGAGTTGTCAAAAATTGAGTAAACTAGAAATGTCAAACTGAGTAAAAGCCACTCAGTCAGCAAAATCCTGGACTTGGAAAAAATGCCAGTCATGTCGGAGGGAAAATGTTACTCAAAACCGGCTGAAATGCCTTCAGGTAAGTACGAATTGCTTAGGGAAACGGTGTTGAACCGTGTTTTGCTTTTTGTGGTAGAATGAATCCGAAGCAGGCAATTTCCATTTTCTTGAATGAAAATCAAAACAAAAACCCTCCCCGCAACTGAAAATACCGGCGAGTGGATTTGACTCAGTCTACGTGAGAACGTAGTTTACTCAAAAGTGAGTCAACATAAGGCTACTCAATTTTGAGTAGCCATACTTGCCGCTGAGATGAGTGCCTTCGACTCAATTTTGAGTTGACCAGAATAAGCGTGTAGATTTAAAGCAAAATAATAAACTAACAAACTGACAGCTCGCTCCCATACAAAGTGACACCGAGGGCGCTAATAAGGTGATTTTTGCAAATGTAATCGTACTTATTTAAAATAGTTCCAGTGTTCCAAAATTGATGAAATTTTGGGTTTGGGTTCCATTCTTAATGCAGATTATGAATATACATTTACCTTAATACCAACAATCAATACGAAACTAACGATTTTAAATTGGCTCACCACTTTAGTAGCCTATTGGTCCCAAGTAAACGATTAACGTACCCTATTCTAGTTGAAATTCTATTACTACACTATGTTTGTTTTGATTCGCTATGAAAGTTTGACAGATAACAGGTGTGTGGATTCATGCAGAACATGCAGGGGTGAGTGAAATAGCTTGGGACTGCTTGGGACCGTTGTTCTGGTACTGAGTGAGCCAAAAATAATAATGATTTTCTTCGGGACCCAGTGTTCTTAGAGTTACCTCTATGTTAATACCTTCAAAGAACCTTCAGAGGGAGAGATAGGCGGAGAAAACAAAATACAATTCGGCAGCAGCTATTTGTACCTAAATTATCTTGCAACCCTTGCTAGAAGCCAGCATTTTACATGACTTTTATTTTTGATTCGATTTACGTGCAAAATATTAATTGATTGCATCGCAATATTTTGCACATTTCTTGGTTCCATCAATTAAATATTAAAATAAAAAATCAATTAATCAATAGAGTTAGAATATTGTTTTTGATTCCAAAAATTAGTTGAATTTGAGACAACAAAAATCCTCGGACAAATTCTAATGGGAATGTTCGATTGGCTCAGATTTTGGCAGTTCATTTGGCTAACAACATTGTCTTTGCCCATCTCTCGCTCTGAGTATTTCTAGTTTAGAGGTATTGAGATAAATACACATTCGTTATCTGCATTAAAAATGGAACCGAAATCCAAAATTTCATCAATTTTGGTACACTGGAACTATTTTAAATAAGTACAATTACATTAGCTAAAATCACCATCTTAGCGCCCCGTGGTGAGACTTTGTATGAGAGCGAGCTGCCAACGAATAAATTTAATGTCAACGATCAAAAATTTAAATCTTGATTTAAAAATCGATAGGAATGTCTACGGGATCGATAAAAATATCGTTGTGCTCAGAAAACGAAGCTCTATCAGATGTTCTATAAAAATCGGTATATTTTTCAAAGTTAAACAACCCAATTGGGTTCTTTAATTTTGAAAAAATGTATTGTTTTTTATAGATCATCCGAAAGAGCTTCGTTTGTTGATCACAGCGATATTTTTTTTTCGAACCCACACACTTTCATCTCGATTTTTAAATTAAGATTTAAAGCAAAATAATAACTTCACTGTTTGACACTAAACTAACAAACTGACAGCTCGCTCCCGTACAAAGTGACACCGAGGAGCGCTAATAAGGTGATTTTTGCAAATGTAATCGTACTTATTTAAAATAGTTCCAGTGTACCCTAATTGATAAAATTTTTGGTTTGGGTTCCATTTTTAATGCAGATTACGAATATGTATTTAACTCAATACCCTTAAATAACCCAATTGGGTTCTTTAATTTTGAAAAATGTATCGTTTTTTATACATCATCTGAAAGAGCTTCGTTGTCTGAGTACAGTAATATTTTTTTTTTTCGCACCCACACACTTTCATCTCGATTTTTAAATCAAGATTTAAAGCAAAATAATAACTTCACTATTTGACACTAAACTAACAAACTGACAGCTCGCTCCCATACACGGTTAGAAAAAAGAACCCAAAATTAAGTTCTTTTCACTCATCTCGGCATTACAGTGCAGGAACCCAAAAGTAGGTAAAGCGGGTCAAAGTAATTTTCATTTACTTGTGTGCAATTCGTATGGAATTTTCCGCTCGCTTTCAACCCAAAAGTAAGTTAGTTGTACCCAACAGTAGGTAAATATGATTTTACTCAACGTTGGGTTCCCACACTTTACAACCCTTGTTGGATGGTTTTGCTCCTCCGTTTTTGACAACATTAGAAGGAGGAAAGGAGACAAACTAGTCAAAAGTAGGTAAAAGTGAACTGGCCGTTGGGTACTTTTTTCTAACTGTGTACACTCAAAAAATATTGAAATCTAAATAGTATAAAAGTTACGCTAAATAGCAACTCTCCGTACCGACGCAAAGGCCGGTATAAAGGGAGAGAATGCAAACTTAGTATAAAAATGGTTTATGCGTGCCATAGTATAAAATCGAAATATACTCACAATGCATAGATACGGTTTATTCAAGAGAATGTATTTTTCGCTTCTTTATTTCATTTATGGTAAATATTATTGTTTTCAAATGAAAATAAAAATTGTCTCAGGAAGCTTATTTCATTAGTTTATTTTTTATTGATAATATTTAAAAAAAATCAGGCATAACATTTGATAACGGCACAAAAGCATTTGTAAACAAACTTTCTAAGGCCCTTTACACGCGAACCAAAATAAACCTATGCAAACCAACAACATCATCGCATAGGGGCAACTATCACCTTTCCGAAAGTGGTATTGGTTTGCGTGGGCGTACTGTGGTTTGCGTGTGTTATGCCTGAAATACTTACAATTTCGATGCTGCCCAGCAGATTACAGGCGCAGTAGAAATCCGCTGGGACAAAGCCCTTCACCAGCACGAAGCTCCGAAGGGAATCCAGATGTTCTTATTCCTGTCATTTTAGTAAACACTGATCGAATTCCACTCCGTTATTCGGACTTAGTATAATTTTGACGAAAATTTTAATCGAACCAATGTATATAAGTTTTGAAAAACCATAAAATGCATAAAATTTAATCTATATTCGTTTTGTAATATTTTTGAGTGTACAAAGTGACAACGAGGGGCGCTTATAAGGTGATTTTCGCAAATGTAATCGTTCTTATTTAAAATAGTTCCAGTGTACCAAAATTGATGAAATTTTGGGTTTGGGTTCCACTTTTAATGCAGATTACGAATTCACACAAAGAACAAAAATTGTTGCTTTAAAAATAATGCATGATCAAATTAAAAGTTTCCCAAATTTCGTAGTTTTAACCGTGGGGGGCGACACATCTAAATCTCAAGTTAAGATGGTCAACAGATCTCACACTAGCGAATCAATCTTCGAACAATCTTCTTTCATTTGTCCCATATACTTGCATCGCTCATCAATTTTTTGCAGGAAATCTTCAGAATCGTCATCAATCTTCTTTCTATCTACTCAGCGTGCGCGCAGCTAGCCACAGCAAAACACAATCTTTTTTGCATCGTAGATAGAGTCGTCCCCCTCGGTTTTAACTATGAAAATTTTCAAAATAAAACATATTCTTTTGGGTTAAAAGTGTTTTTTCACTTTCGGCTTGTAATTTTAAAAGTGTATGTTTTAGAATAAAAGTCGAAAAACTGTCAAAAATCTCTTCATTGTAAAGTTTTTGACAGTAATGAAAAAACCGTTTCCCGCCAAATTGGACATGTGAAAAAAACGAGACCAGCAGCTAACATGAGCAGCAGCAGTTTCTTCAAGTTATCTACATTTTCATCCGCCGGCGCGCTTGTTTCTCTTCTGACGCTATCGAGTGGAAGGATCGGAAGGATATTCCAGTTACGGGATTTGGAAGGTAGGTTGATGAAATTTTCGAATACTTTCGAGCTTGCTTCCGATTTTACTAATTTATGTGTTTTCAGCAGCCTCGTCAGTCTTGCCGGAAAAGAAGGCTACTCCCACCATCATCATCACCAACTGTATAATTTGCGATAAAAATGCCCATATTTTAAATTAAACCCTTTCGTGAGTCTATTTAAAAAACATGGATTTTTATTTTGACAGTTCTACAATTCGATTTAAAAGTTTCTACTTTTAAAAGTAAAAAACGAGTTATTTTTGAATTGACAGTGTGCTGACTTTTGTTTTGAATGCAAAAGACTTTCTACCAAAAAGAACCAACGCAAACTTTTAATTCTACCAATGGTTTTTTTCAATTTAATCAATGATAATTTTTTGTGTGTATGCATTTACCTCAATAAGCCTGGTACGCAGCTGAAAAGTAATGACGTTTTTATGTGCTATCGGATAGGACACGGAATGCAAAAGAAATTACTTTTCCTCAGCATTTCTTGACCCAGTACGCAGTTCAAAAGAAATCGGTAAAGGAAAGACATGAAGGTGGCGCATTCTGAATGCAATTTCACTTTCCTTGCGGAATAATGGTCTGATCAATTATTCCGTTAGGTAATGTTGGCGTTTATTGCAAAACTGATGTTTTGGATGCATTAACAACATAAACACATAAACACTAATAAGTGTTGATTTTACAATTTGACGACATCTCCCTATAATCCGAGCTATAATCTCAAAATTTAGCAGACTATAGCTGTCAAATTTTCTTTTGGGAAAAATCCTCAAAAATTACTTTTCCGTTTTCTTTTCAGCTGCGTACCAGGCTATACCCTAAAAAAATATTAAAAACTAAAATTATTCAAGTAATCGTAGTAATTTCGGTAATCGAGAATAATACAAGTAATTTCAAAGTAAAAAAGTAATTTTAACTAGCTGGTTAGTAATCAGAGTAATCTTCGCTAACCTGACTGGCATTGATCGGTAATTAACGCTGGTAGAAACCCCTCGGCACAAGAACTAAAGCAAGTCTGAGAACAGACCTATTTTCGCCGACCATTTTTCCTGTGCCCAAACAATGTCACAGAGAACAGGCCTGGTAATATAAATTGGTCATCTCTTTCATTCTCGCGCTGACGAGTTTACGTCACATTTGACGTTGGACAAGAACAGCGGATGAAAGAATGAGACCAAAAATCCACATTTCTAGACCTGTTCTCCTTGACATTGCTGCCCAATGAGATGTGAGGCGAACGATGAGAAGTCGGAAAAATGTCGAGAGAGAAATACACTGCGTGAGAGAGAATTCTGTGAGCGTGGGAGAGAGCATAAACCACGAGAAGTCGAGAGCGAACATCAGCAGACGTAAGTGTTTCTTCATAGTGAAAGATTGCATATTATAGTGTCCCGTCGCTGTCGTCGTCGTCGTCGAAATTCCAGTGAAAATCAACCAACAAAAACGGTGCAAAATTGCCGAAAAAAGCGTCCGCTTCTACTTTTCGAAGAGGTAAATCAGTTTTTCGTAGAAAATGGAGTATTTTCCTTCCGGAGTGGGTCGGTTCGGGTACGCGATGTTTACATTTTCTGCCCTCGAATGTGTGCAATCTCGCCATCATCCGCCAGGTTATGCGAAGAAGGAGCGCCTGTTTCATGGATGGATGATGTTCGTCCGAAGCCGTCAGCAGCTATTCGTCTTGTCGCTAAGGGCAGAAGAAGCTCAAGGGTCCGGCTGTTTTCTAGCCAAGTGTTATGATATGATTTTTTTTCGTGTGGCTCCGCCATCCGCTGATGTGATTATAAATTTGACATTAGCCGTGCACGTACGCGGAGGAACGAAGCGAGAGAAAGACCAGAGCTGTGCGGAGATAGATGCGGACGATGGCAACCACAAACGGGGCTTTCTGAAGGAAAATGGAGAATGCCCCCGTTTTGTGCGAACGATTTTGGGCTCGCCCGGGATTGGATGGATTTTCCTCCGCAGGCAGATGCATTTTTGGAGCGATGCAATTGAAGCAGGGTCATATCATGGTTCTATCCAATGAAGGAGATTGTATTTGGAGATGCCTTGACCATTTGCACGAAATTATTATGGAAAGTTCAGAAAGACCTTGGATTTGGATTTCATCACCATTGCCTGTTGTTGTTGTTGTTGTTGTTGAAGGTGCTTTTGCTGTTCGCATTTGAACCAGAGTTGCCAGTTCGCATGTTACTGAGTAAATTTTGTCTCATTAGTAGTTTTTGGCGAAAATAAGACATTGGAATCGATTGTCAAGTATCACCACTTTACTATGCAAGCGAAAAGTTGCCTTTATGGCTAGAAAATGTCGTGAAAAATACCAAAACTATATTGTCTCCTTTAGGCTGAAAATCTAAAAAAAAACTTATCCCAGCCATAAGAACCCATTTAGAAAAATAATGTTTAAAAGTGTTTTTCTCAGCTTGCTGCTTCCCATTCGTTACAGTTTTTTATATCTTTATTAAGGAGACTTTCAGTTAATGGAGCAGTTATGATGAACAGGTCAGTACCTACAGGCTACTTTCAAGCCGGAATAATGAGTTGGCGAACACCTATTGTGACCGATGGCATAAATATCTTGTGAAAAAACGATCACCATGATTGTAGTCATGATCAATATTTCACGAACAAGCCACTGCATCTGTTACAACAGAGCATATTTGAAAATAATATTCTTCAATTAATATAAATCGCAATTATTAATTAAATCAATTCAATTAATACAAAGCACTAAATTAGTTGATCTAACCTATAAACTGAATTCAGTGAAGGAACTCCACAGCATACGCCTGCTAAGCCATAGATTGCAGCCCATCGATATGATTATGGTATCGGGACCTCTAGAGAGCCAATATTTATCGATTCTTTAAATAGTCACCTCAGTGATTTTCTTTTCCGAACAAACAGCAGAATGCGCTTCACGAGAGTAAATTACCTGGCATCTCTGCTGTGGCCACCGAAGCCAGCGAAAAATGCATTACACAATATGTATTTCGCTTCGTCCATCATAAACAAAAGTCGAGAGAGCCTATCCTCTATACGGATCGGAGCATCGGAGGTAATAAAGAGAAGCAATAAAAAAAACTGAAGGTAAAGAGATATTCATTGGAATAAGAGTCACCATGCTTGCCTACCTACAACTAATATGATAGTAGTTGGAAGAACGATGATTGTTGTTCGCCTAGTACGACCAATATACAGTGCGGAGCCGAAGGAAAAGCAATTGTGAGCATTGTGAGAGCAGCAAATGTGCTAGGAGAATAGAGAAGAGAGTCTTCATAACGAAGGAACCATACCTATATCGTAAAAAAAAAAAACTTGAAAGTCTCTCATCGCGGATGGATGTGTATCTTCTTCCATCAAAAATTGGATTTGCGGTTCGCTGGTTGCAGGCGTACTGTTGTTCTTTTCCTCTGCGCTGACTTTCTAAGTGGCTGGCATCCGATGAATGGGTTATACCTTCAAAAGGTTGGCTCTCGGTGTTGGTGTCAGACGAATCGCCTTGTGTAGTTTTTCGCCCATTTCAATAGACAAATGTATGCGCGATTTGGTGCAATTGAGAAAAGACGAGTGGAGTTTTTCATCATCGTCAATAATTAAGCTCTCTATTTGGGGTCAGTTTTTACAATTTTGATTGCTGATTTCCAGTGGAAAACTCATTCATTGCGTACCGGCCGAAAATGTGTAGCGTGATGCAATTTCTTCTATCCATCAGCGCATCTCACCAAATGCCTCTCGTTACAGGTTTCTTTTATTTTTGGTTTTCCTTTGGTTTCCTTTCCTGGTCCTTCCAGCAGTTAGTGGAAGCCGGTTGCTGATCCTTCTTCTTGCCAATTTCCAACTCGAAAAACATCACCGCACACCGTCAGGCCGTAAAGCGAACAGTTCACTCTATTTGAAGTCCCCAAAACGACAACCCATCGGATATACAATGGCCGATCAGCAGCAGTACTTCCTCAAGTGGAATGACTTTCAAACTAATATGGTGACCTCGTTCCGGCACCTCCGTAACGAGAAAAGCTTCACAGATGTGAGTATGGTTCTAGTGCTGCCTATGTACTCGGACTTAAATTTACGTTTTTTATTTTAGGTAACCCTGGCATGCGAAGGGCAGACGTGCAAAGCTCACAAGATGGTGCTATCTGCTTGTAGTCCTTACTTCAAGTCGTTGCTGGAGGTAAGTGGACATCACATGTCGTGTATTGATTTGTTCGCAGGATATAGGTCATAGTCGATCGGTGAACTATGAACTCTGACAGCCATGTCCGGATCAATAATAGGGCTTGTTGTTTCGCAAAAATGCCCGACAAGTGGGTTTGAGAAAAGTGGTTCTCATAGTTTAGGGCCGATTTATTCATTTGCAATGGAGTGTTTAATTTCCGTTGAGGACTAACTGTGTAGAAGTGATTGTCAAGGTCGATAACCCAAGTTGTACCCACCACTTTTATTCGGTTGATTTCTAATTAGGGGAATTATTTACGTATTCTCGTCAATCTAATCAGCGTCCGCGCTTCTATTAGCGTTTTTCTTAGCGTCACGCACACATATTACGTGTTTGTTTGTTTACATTTATCTGCTGCTTGCTTCTCTGTCCATTCCAATCGACAGAATAATTTATTGTCCAAATCTGTTTGAATGCGTTTTTACAACGCTCCAAACTGTGCTCAAGTGAGTGACTATTGTCGGCAGCCTCTTTATCCTCGGTAACCTTTCCATTTGAACTGCTTGTCAACCAGCTGTTCTATCATCGGCAACTCTAAATCAGCCGAATAGTTTATTGTATTTGTACTAGTCTACATCGGTTGATGAAAATATGGCAAAAACAGGATTGCTCAGTCGTAAACCTGAAATCAGATTGAAGCTGAAAGACTACAGCTGGGTTTAGACAGGGCAAGTTAATTGATCAAGTCAGTTGAATTCAACTGACTTGAACGCGAATTGAACGTGTAAACCATGCCATTCAACTGACTTGATCAACTCACTTGAATTGAAAAAAGTTGAACCAGGCTCAACTTTTCAAGCCAATTGAATTCAACTGAGTTGATCATTTGACTTGCCTAGTCTAAACTACCCATAATCGCATATCACTCCCATCTTTCCTTGATTTCCTATCCATATGGGACTGATATGCGATTATAGGCAGTAAACCCAGCTTAAGGGATCGTGTGAACACATTCAACAAAGTGTTTTGATGGGAAAATATAGTGAAATTAACGTTTAAATTTTAGTTGCCGAAAACAGTCAATAGCGGCGCCGGTGGTGTAGTAAGCGTGATTATCTCTCACCCCAGCAGGCCTGGGTTCAATCCCAGTCGGCACCGCCTTGATGTTCTGAGGCATAACATCTCTGATCACGCCTTCCTTCGGAAGGGAAGTACAGCCGTTGTTCCCCGGTTCATGAGTTGATGGGTCGATAGGTAGGGTCCAGGTGTGGGAGCTGCTTCCCTGGCGTCGGTAGCATTGGTGCTCAGCACGGAAAACGAGATCGACGGAAAACAAATCAAGGAAAAAAGAAGAAAACAGTCAATGGGTACCGAAGCCGACCTTTAACCTGATTGATCTGAGTTTTTGAAAGTCATTAGTTTATGGTAGGGTCGACACTAATCACATTTAAAAAAGTAGAAGAGTTTGTGCCTAGGGGCACGAACGGAAACTTGGCGTAGAACCGCGATGGGTAGGTACACTTGTTTTTGGGTTGGATTCTTTTAATTGTTCAAAAATCTATAATTTTAACATTCAAAGTGTTTTTTTTTGTTACTTTATACGCGAAGTTAGCGATTTTCAGAGTTGTTTGGAAATGCTAACATAAAGCTTTAGGGTGATAATTTTTAGCTAGAGAATGAACCATCTTCTAAAGATCATTCTCTAGCTAAAAATTACAACACTAAAGCTTCTTGTTAGCATTTCGAACCAACTCTATAATTTTAACTCAATAATTTTTAAAATGGTGTTCCGCTTGTTGTTTTATCTGGTATCCCTCAAATGGATTGTTGCAGTGTTAAAAAGGGTCCCGAATAATTAGGCACTAATGCTGTCGACCGAACAATCTCGCAGCTGCTACGACCTGTAATCGAGACAAGTTTGTTACTTTTATTGCTATACAGATAATTGTTTCAACAAGCTACATACAAAATGTAATGGATATCAACAGTAAGACCTGTATTAATGCGAAATTTCGTAATTGATCACGAATATCTCGCGATCAGAACATTTTAGCTTGAAATCCCTCCAATACATACTCGGTAATTAGAAAACAGTCCAAACATGTCATGTACCTAATATTAAAAGCTCTGAGGCTGAAAAGTTCGGTGCTCGACGAAAAGTACGTTTATTGTTGTTTGACATCAACAGGCTGGATGAAGCACCAATGATATTAACCTTATCAACTATAGTAAAAAAATACGTTCAAGCATGGTCATAACATAAAAATCATTAAAACACATATATCTTATAGTCAGTTGTTACTCCTGCCGGCGAAAAACAGAAGAAAACTTTCGATGAAGCTCATCACAATACCTATGAAAGTCGAAAACAGATGCAACTCTGTTGAATATTTTCTGCAGTCCGCAAATCGTGTCCATAATTTGTGCGACGTAGAGGCAGTCTTAGCATAAGGTTATTACGAAGCGGTCGGGGTTGAACATTCAGGTCAATTTGCCTCAGGATGGCGTCGCAATCTGTCCTTCCTTGCAGAATATCGGCCAAGGTTAGGGCTCTAGTCCGGAGAAGTTCTAGGTCGATAAGTTGACAACGGCTTTCGTAACTGCACCAACTAGCGAATACATTCAACTGACGTTGAAGAAAGTGACCGTCAACAATGGAGCAGACTCGTAGGAAGATTTTGAGGTCATCTGCATATGATAACCGAGGAGCTTCGATGCCCAGATGCACGTCGTTGAAGTACGGTATAAAAATAACGGTCCCATGTGGCTTCCCTCAGGTATAACTGATGTGGCGAAGAAGCTAGCTGATCTGCAATCTCCTATGGCAACCTTTATTTGCCGACCGGTAAGATATGATCGAAACCAACTCAGAAGATTACCGCATACACCGAGCCTGCCGAGTTTAGCAATCGCAATAGCATGGTTCAACTTGTCGAATGCTGCGGATAGATCTGAATAAATAACGTCCGTTTGAACCCGATCCGACATGCTTTCGGACATATATACGATGTGAGACACAGCAGATTGGTGGTTGTAGAGCGGCCGACAGTAAACCCATGTTGATCAGCACTCAAATACTGCTTGCAATGGGACAGCAACGGTTCCATAATCACTAGCTCGAATAGCTTCGAAACGGCACTTAACGATGTAATTCCTCTATAGTTATCCACAGCTTGTTTCCTTCCTTTTTTGGGGACGGGAAATATGTGCGCAATTTTCCAGCAAGATGGAAATATTCCACTAGCAAGAGAGAGACATTCGGAACAGGCGATGAAGCGGAATAAACAAGCTAGCAATATGTCCCTTCAAAAATACAGATGGAACTCCATCAGGTCCAGGATTGAAGGATGACTTGATCAGAGTCGCGGCCTTAGAAATCATCTCAGCATTAACATCAATTGCACCCAGCGTTTAATCATTTACTGGAACGTTCCTGGCAGCCAGGTTAATATGGTCGTCAGTTAGTATCTCATTAGTGAATACACTGGCAAACTTGTCGGAAAAAAGGCGGCATATATCCTGAACGGTGGCAGCAACTTCTCCGTTGAATTCCATAGACGATGGGAGGCCGGTCTTTCTGCGTTGCTCGTTCACGTAGTTTCAAAAGGATTTCGGGTGTAACTTAAGTTTGCGCTGGATGCCTCGTTGGAAACTTGAAAAGCATTCACGACTGACTCGCTGGGACATGTGATTCAGCCTCACATAATGTAGTTTCAGAGGAAGCGTGCGATACTGCGTAAATATTCTCAATGCTGCTCTCTTGATTGACTTCATCCTACGTAACTCTCTCGTCTGCCAGGGAGGGTGAGACACTTTTCGGGACGTGTCTGTCAATGACATATGCCAAGACATGTGAAAAGGTTTGCATGTTCTCGCATACCATGCTAGATAATACATCTATGATGCTACGGTGGTCAGCTTTACGGAAGTCATAAGAAACCGTACCAAGATAATCGTCGAAATCACGCACGAGTTTGTCCTCAACAGTGACAATTAGAGGAGGGTGATGAGGAACTAGCTTAGTTAGTGCACAAGGAGCCGAGTAAATTAATGGAGCCCTGTCCTGTGTGCTCACGAAGCAGAGGTCCAAAATACGATCATTTTCGTTAACTACATGGTTAATTTGAGAAAGCGTTGCTGCGCTATAGTTGTCGAGAAGGCTAATAGATCCTGCGTGAAATGTAGAGCTATCAGGATCTGGATACAGGAATCCGCTATTAGATGGACTCCACGAAACGCCTGACAGATTGAAGTAACCAATAATGAATATCTCATCAACTGGAGTGGCACTTCCGATAACTGTGAAAACTGAGTATCGATGAGTTCATTGTCCCGGACTCGATCAGGCGCATAGTGTGCGATCACCCAGATTGATGGCTGTCCAAATCTGCTTCACATACATAGTTCCATGAATCGTTCTCGATGGCCTTTGCCTCCAACCCGCCACGGACAGACTTCGTAGTCAGGACCGAATACTTGACTGGAAAGCGTTCGATTATCGAGTCACGTTTCGCACAGGACAATTACATCGTAGCAACAATCCGATACAACTAGGCGGTACTCTTCAACATCAGAATTCATTCCACCGGCGTTTTGGTAGAAGATCACGACGTCCTGCTTCCGGCAAGAAATCGAAAGACTGCTCTTCCTTGAAATCACAGATACATCAGGCAATAACTGACCATCATCAGGTCTGATTGGATACTCGCCGTGGGTAGGAAGACCCCCTCTCCACATCCGACAGCAGGTCCGGAACGACTATGATGAACGAAGGCTGCTGATGGCAGGACTGAGACGGAGGGATTGGGGGCTTCCACGGGGCTTTCTACGGCGCGTTCCGGGTTCCCAGGATAGGGAGTTACAGAGGCATCATCACAATGACTAACATAGTCCGAATTGCTGAAAATTTAATCGGCATCAGGCAGTGAATAGTCAATATATTGATCGTACTTCCCTGTAGAGGCAAGGTGGAAAACTCCTGATTCATATCCAGCCACAGGGCCAGAACGACTATG